TTCTTACTGCTGATCCCAGTCTTTAACCCAGTGAAGACCCTGACCACTCACTGTGCTTGGACAGGCTGCTGGAGGTCTCCTCTGTAATTCTTCCATATTAACCAAATTACTCATGGGGAGGTGGTCTGGTTTTATACTGGGAAACCTCTAATTACAAAGTCTTTTCATGTTAATCATTTGTGTATTATCATGGAAAATTGTCTAATTGAAATCAGCTAATGTGGTGACATTTTCTGGAAGCAGTCAGAGTATGGTGTACATCTGGAAAATCAAAGAGGGAATGTAAAGGAGTGGTTACTGACAGTATGTCATAAATTATAACATTAACAAAATTAATGATGTCTTTTATCGTATGAAAGTTTATGCCAAGGTCCACATCTGAACCAAGCACAGCCAAGTGGTACAGAAACCAGTCAAGCCTATTAAATTAACTGAACATTGGTTTTTATGGTTCTATGCCAGTGATAGCCCAGACTGGCATTGTGGTTTTTTTGTGGGTTCTTGTTCTCTGAACACCTCAAGGGAATCTCTTCAGGCTTGGCAAACATGGTCACTTGGATTCAAGAAAGCACTCATTCATTAGGGGTGAATGTGGTTCAGGTGAGAAATGTCAGAAGAATGCCTCATTGGATAAATTACAAAACATTTGATCCAGAAGGTCCAAGGTCAATTTCACTTAGACATCAACCTGGTTTGCAAAACCTCTTTTCTGGGCATAACTCAGGAACATGTCATTATATTCCTTGCAATTTCCATGCCTTGCAATGATCTCTGTAATATTTTACATATTTACCTTCACCCCACAGATAGACTGTACGTTGTAAATGTAGTAACTTTTGATCTTTCTAATGAAGTTAATCTTGTATTAGAGATTTTGGATAGCATTATGTTTTGTCACATCCTCTTCCCAGAGGATGTCTTCTCCTGCATTTATTTATTTGGCTGTCTATTAGTTACCCAAATAACTACTGGCTGGTTTACCATGATGCGATATGGGTCTCGAAAAAACGAATCAAATTTTGGTGTGGATCGGGACATGTTTTTCAATAGTTTCATTGATTTCTCCGAAAAATTCATGGATCTTAAAGAAAAAAATCCCTCATTTTTGGGGGACTGGTACAACATGATGCAGATCTAAATTAAAATCTGGATCTTGTGAATTTAAACGGGGACAGAGGAGATATGCGCTCTCTGACTGCCATTCTACGTTCTACGTGTGCCTCCTCACCTGCTGATCTTGCAGTGGATCATGGATGGTTAAATTCTAACATTCATGAAAAGAAGCCAGTGGTGAAAGTTTACAACAGTATGTTGTGAGGCTTTGATGTGACAGCAGCAGTGCACAGGAGATAAGCACCCATCCTCCTCAGGGCTGAGTGAATAGTGTGGGGTGTGGTAGCATGTGTTGTAGTGTGTGTGTGTGTAGCAGAGTCCTGGGTGTGGCTCTAGGAGGGAGCGCTGGAGGAGGGGAAAGGCTGCAGCTCCTCTTCTGACAGATCCAGGTCTGCATATGGGCTCTGGACTCTGCTTGACTCAAGCACAGCTGCAGTTATTGAGGACATGCTGTAGACATGTGGATTACGTTAACTTTCATGCTGGGCTGCCTTTGGCTGCAGGACTCTCTGCACATGGGACTGATTGTGGATGGGCAACAGACAGATATGGTATGTACTGTAAGTGATGTGACAGAATGTCAGTGATAACACATCAGAGAGTGTAGGAATGCAGGATGTGAATGAATCAGAAAGTGACTTTCAGTGAGCACACAACATCCCTCCTGTGAAGTGTCTGTGGTTTCATGTTCAGACTACAATTGCACTGGGACAACTTTCATATGTATCTAAGGTGACTTGTTGTTGCCATGTAGACGCTAATTTATTTCATTTGTTATGGTTCTTTGATACTTTATTTATAGAGGTCTATTTAAATCAATCCCATTGTGTCATGTTGATCTTGCACATGTGCAAATATGAACTTTCTCGGCTGAACCATCCAAGGTCCAACGCAACATCCCAGAATGTGAGTGAAAGTGTTGCCCTCTTAAAATAAATTGCTGCCAACAGCTGCTGTTACTTCAGCAACTTTCTGCAAATGTGATCAACTTTTCAGATCTTTTTTGCAATTTCTTTTGCAACATAGATGGACAACATGACAGCTCCACAAAAGTGTAGCTCAAGCACCTCTGTTGCCCCCTGGTGGACGGCTGCATTATGGGTTATAAACCCCACCTATTCCATGTGGTTCTGTTGTACTGATATGTTTTCATGTATTTGATAAGTTTGGTTTGAGTTTTTTAGTTAGTTTATACTATAAAACAAAGTGAAAGGTCATGTTTGAGAGTTGAGATTAACTTGTGGCTGGTGTATCGTGGGACCCCTGTTTAAATACAGTCATTGCTGCAGGCTAACATGTAGTCTAAACTGTCCACATCTCAATCAGTGTTTCATACAGAAACAGAAAAACGTAAAGGAGAACAGTTTCACCAGGGATTCAGCTGTATTAAAATACAGTCCATGTGAGCGCAGCGAGTCAAAGAGAAGTAACCAGATAAAGGCCTGAAACCAGCTGAAGGATGCAATGACGTCATAAATATAACAATAAGCAACAGTTTTCAAATAAGTCCTCAGTTTTGAAACATGGGGAAGCGGCATAACTTACAGAGCTATATGAATCTGGATTTCTGCTGAGGCTGCAGATGGAACAGTCACAATCTGGTGTCAACAGCATGAATCCATGGAGACAACCTGCTTTGTGTGAATAGTCCAGACTGCTGCTGGCGATGTGATGATTTGGGACATGTTTTGTTGACATCCGTATTATACCAATCAATCATGGTTTCAGTCTGAGTATTGCTACTGACCATGTTCATCGCTTTATGGTCACAGTTCACCATCTTCTATTGGCTTTAAACTAGTGTCATGAAAATGACAGTGAGTTCAGTGAACTTTAGTGACCTCCACAGTCAGCAGATGTGAATCAGACAGTAACCTCACCACACCCTCATCTCCTCTTCAACACATCCAGCTCATTTTGCTGGACCAGTTGGATGCAATGGTGGTGACTTCTTCTTCATGGACATAGGACGGGTGGTTTTGTGAGGGCTGGACTTGAGAGGTTCTAGCCAAACCAGTCAAAATCAAGTGTGATCGATGGACATCTTCTATATGTTGTATCTAAACTGTCCCTGACTAGGTGGGACAGTGATAATCAGTTTCATGGCAGGAAGCAATTTCCAACATTGTTCCTTGTTTGGAGTGTATGATGCAATGGGAATGTTTGATGCTTTCCATTTATCCCATGTTGCAGGGCCACAGTTCTCTTTCTATGGCTCTGCATTTTGGACTGATAATGAAAAGGTGTGTGTTTTGTTGTGATGCTTTGTTTATGCAGCTCAACTTATCAAAATTGCTCATGTGATTAAAACGTATTGATATCTAAAGAAAACAAGTTGACAAGTCTCTTTGTGGATTAACTACAGGAACATTACATTAACATTGGCAGTTTGGGTGTTGTACCTCCTCAGCTTCAGTGTGGTCATGGTTTTTATGCTGCTGTTTAAGATTGATTTTGTTCGTGATTCTCAGTTATATTATCCAATGGTTCTAGTCTGTCATTGCAATGGTGATGAGCAGGCTGGGGGAAGATTAGCTTGACAAATAGCTTCAGGTGCAGAGTTACCAAGTGTCTTGCTGGCTGAGCGAGCTGTAGTAACAATGTGAGCTTATCCAGGATAAAGGAACATTGTGCTCAGCTAAAAAAGAGAGTCTGTGTCTGTACTGTCTCTTTATTATGCCGCCTGTTCACTCAGCAGAGCATCGCTATCTTCTCACCTTTGTATCAGGTGGTCTTCGAAGTCTGTCAGCTCCAGACTTGTATTAGTGTCCTGCTTTGAATTGCATGATGCTGGCAGATTATTCAGTTCAGTTTGATTAGTTCATATACATGGTGTCTCACTTTCTGCATTAGACTTTGAACTTCTGCTTTTAATCAGCCACTACTCAAAGGGATAGTTCACCGAAAAAAAGAAAATTCCCTCACCACTATGCCGAGGGAAGGGTGGGTAAAACGTTTGAGTCCAAAAAAACCTCAGTGGTAACCAGCATTGCTCTTCTTCAGACGTAATAAAACAACAGAAAAAGCATAACATGCCTCCATACTGCTCGTGTGGTGTCTGTGAGAACATGAATGCGCCTCCAAGGAGGATATTAGAGGTCATTTAGAATTCAAACTTGACGTAAATGATTTTGTTGCGAGTTGAATATTTTGGACTTGGATGACACCACACGAGCAGTATGCAGGCATGTTATGTTGTTTTTGTTGGTTTTTTTTACGTCTGAAGAAGGGGTTCCATTTACTTCAATTGTATTTGATTTGGCTGCAAAGCTGTTTAACCCTGAGACTCCAAACATGTCTTTTGGACTCACACTTCACCCACCCCTCCATCGGCATAGAGGTGAGTAGATAAGTAAGGAATGTTTTAATATTTCGGTGAACTATCCCTTTTAACATGGATTTTACTATAGAGCAGTGCCTGTCTTAAACCTGCCTGTTTGGAATGGGCTGTTTGCTTGGTCTGTGGTGATGCTGGTTGCAGCTTTCTTCCTGAAACTGAAAAACCCTCTCACCTGTGTAGTGATGCTTGACTCAGTACGCAGAAGCTGGTTGCCGTTGTTGTGGACGCTTCAATTGTCATGAACGCGCTGTTGTCATGATTAACAATGTCAGTTACATTTATAAGTCCTGGGTGCTGCTACAGAGCGCTGCTCGCCTGTTTATATAAAGTTTATAAAACATATCTCGTATCTAACTCCCACCAAATCCCAGACAGACAGAGAGATTTCTGGAATTAATAGATAGTGTGCAAATGTAACATTTTTCCTCTTGCCTTGTGCTTTAGCTTGTGTAACGTGTTACCATTTTAACATTTTGTCAGTAGCAAGAAACAGCAGAATTTCACTTGATGGTATTGGTTACACAACTGTGCTGTTTCTTTTCTGTTTTCTCAGGATCACCTGTCAGAGAGAAACCCTGCAGACTCCAACAATCAAGATGCTGCTGACCAAAGCCAAGGCTTTGGACTTGTTGATGAACCTCACATTGTGTTGACAACTAACACTGAAGATGTTAGAAGAGGTCAGAGTACTGAATCCGCTCCAAGCATCCAAACATCAGATGAAAATATCATCCAACAAAGTGCAGTGGATACAGCTCTAACCTCACCTGATTCACAGACACAAACGTCTGAGGTCAAATCGCACAATGTTACTTTGGTGAGGTATAACAATGTGATACTATCAATGGCAGCAAAAGGACATTGGGAGACAAACAGACCACTTCCTCAGTTAAGAAGCATTGAGGACGGGCAGCATTCCAGTCTGCAGCACATGGGATCAAAGCCATCTGCACCTTCTGGGAACATCATTTATGGATCTGACCAGAAAATCTACCGAATCCATAAAGGTCTCTCTGGGCCAATTGGACCACAAGGAAGGAGAGTAAGCATCTCCTTTATGATATAATTCGTCATGCATTATTGTTGGATACAATATAGCACTTAAATTGTTGATTTAGTGTAAGTATGTGGAGTGCTCAGACTGATGTCTGATTAGAGTATTAATTCTGCCTGGTAAAACTGGACATTGACTTAAGGTTTCAATGTGTAAGTTAAGGTGAAATGAATCTATTGGCAGAAA